CCTGTTTAGCGATACACAGACAAACTCAACCTGAACACACACAAAGTCACAGCCGAAGTAAAAACAATAAGTGTGGCTTGATATTGAGTAAGAAAAAGGTTGATAAACGCTGTGAGAATGGGTCTGCAGAGAGAATTTCGCCGCGATCCCAACTGTCTGTTATCAGCCTGCAGCCAGGGAGGAGAGATCAGCAGAGCTGCCTGCACTGAGTAAATGGTAAATGGACTGTACTTATATAGCGCTTTATCCAGTCTTTAAGACCCCTCAAAGCGCTTTAACATACTACATGTCATTCACCCATTCACACCCATTCATACAGAGCAGTGTACCTTACTCTAGGACCTAACATTCACACACATTCACACACCGTTGGCCATGCCATCGGGAGCAACTCAGGGTTAAGTATCTTGCCCAAGGATACATCGACATGTTGACTGCAGGGGCTGGGATCGAACCCACAACCTTCTGGTTGAAAGACGACCGCACTCCCTCACAGCCACAGTCGCCCATACACTGAGTGTATGTGTGAGGAAGTCCGTGGATTGGTCAATTTGGACCAATCAGCGGGGGCTTAACGTAAAGGCTCCGCGGAAGTAACGTAACGGCTCCACGGATTTGGTTCCGGGTACGTGCTTACGAAAGCACGTACCTGGAAGAATCAAATGGATGATGACGTTTCACCAACGAGGCGTTTTGGGGAGGTCTTTTCTGTGTTAGAGTTTTACTCGCTACAGGGTGTACTTTGAGGGTTTGTGACTCTGCAGACCGTTTACATGCAGAACAACCTTCATAACACACAAGGGGACGGGTAATAACCGGAAAAGCATGACATGGGACCTTTAAAATAAAAACGTTTCAGGGGGACCGCTGAGAAAGAGTAATNCACTTATGTCAACCATAAAAAACATGACTAATGTTTTATGGTTCTGTTTAAGCAACTCAAAGCACATGATCAAGGTTAAACAAAAAAAGAAATGGAGCTGTACTAAATTATATGGTTCTATACAGGAAACTTCTGTACATATTCTATTATTAATAGTAACTTAAAGGTCCCATTTCATGGCCATTTCCACTGATCATAATTCCATTGTTGAGGTATACTAGAATAGAAAAATATTGTGCAATTTTCCAAACTCACATTGGTTTAGAATGCTGTGAGAATGGGTCTGCAGAGAGAATTTCGCCGCGATCCCAACTGTCTGTTATCAGCCTGCAGCAGGGAGCAGAAATCAGCAGGGCTGCCTGCACTGAGTGTGTGTGTGGATTGGTCAATTTGGACCAATCAGCGGGGGCTTAACGTAACGGCTCCGCGGACGTAACGTAACGGCTCCACGGATTGGCCCATTTAGAATCAAATGGATGATGACGTTATGATGACGTTTCACCAACGAGGCGTTTTGCTGAGGTATTTTCTGTGTTAGAGTTTTACTCGCTACAGGGTGTACTTTGAGGGTTTTGACTCTGCACACCGTTTACATGCAGAAAAACCTTCATAACACACAAGGGGACGGGTAATAACCGGAAAAGCATGACATGGGACCTTTAAAATAAAAACGTTTCAGGGGTACCGCTGAGAAAGAGTCATATTTTTAGTCATGAAAAATGAGGTAACGGTCATGGAGAAGTCATTGAAAATCATTGGGGAAAAAGTGTATGAACCCTGAATTACATAAAAAACATGAACTTATATAACTCAAATGTTCATTTCCACATTGATGAGGCAAAAGGTGCTGTGGGAGTAATGCTAAATCTGTGTCTGACCTCTTTTCCAAGTCCCCGTTCTCCCCCTCCTTTGCTATCTTCTCTCTCTCACTCGTCTCCCTTCCTGTTTCTGTCTCACTGCTATCATGGTTCTACCGTAGGAGGAGGATAAGAAAACGGGGGTGTTTCTCCCCTCACAGATCTAACCCTATTTTTGTTTCTTCCCACTCTTTCTTTACTCTCTTAGCGGAGGGCTACGCCGCCTTCCAGGAGGACAGTTCGGCCGACGAAGCAGAGAGCCCGTCCAAGATGAAGCGCTCCAAGGGAATCCACGTGTTCAAGAAACCCAGCTTCTCCAAGAAGAAGGAGAAGGAATTCAAGGTGAAGGAGAAGGAGAAGGAGAAGGAGAAGGAAAAGGAGAAAGAGAAAGAGAAGGAGAAGGAAAGGGCGCCGAAGGAAGACAAAGCCGCCAAAGATAAGAAATCAAAGGATCTGACGGCAGCCGACGTGGTTAAACAATGGAAGGAGAAGAAGAAGAAGAAGAAACCGACAACAGAGGCAGAGCCCGTCCCGGTGGAGGTCCCCACCTTCAGGCCCATCTTTGGAGCGCCTCTCGCTGAAGCCGTGAAGAGGACGGCTCTGTACGACGGCCTCCAGCTGCCCGCCGTCTTCAGAGAGTGTGTGGACTACATCGAGAGTTACGGCATGAAGTGTGAAGGCATCTACAGAGTTTCAGGTAAACACCCTTTGAGATGTGGATTTGCAAAAAGGGATAACTCAGGGATTTAAATCCAAGGGGGGGAAAGTGAGAAGTGTGTCAGTATGTAGACTTACTAATAATGCCACCAGGCGAGAAGCAGCTTAATTGTGTATCAATACATAATCTATACATATCATTGATGATGTTAAACCATATTCTCGGCACTGCATGTGCTACGTATTTATTTCCTTGTAGACTTCTTGAAATGTAATCGGGGACAGTCAATGAACCAAATGCAAATTATCATGGAAGTTCACTAACTATGAAAAATTAAAGAATTTGTTTTTATTGTTGTATTTTTGCTAATAAATTCAAACCAATGTAAGTTATGAAGGTCATTGACTATTTAAACTTAAAACTCAGTCAAGCTTTGCAAAAAAAAGTTGTATTCAGTTTTATTTAATAGATTAAAGACTGCACTGAAATGAGGTTAAGACAAACTGAAAATAAAAAAGCTCTTCAAAAGTATCTTTCCTTAAAACACTAACGGCCCGTCCACACAGCAGCGTTAAAAAAATCTTGAAAATCTTGGAGGTGGGCGTGTCTGAAAGCTTGGGGATTTTTTGCGACCAACAACCAATCACATGAATATCCCGCCTCCGACATACAAAGCAATAGCAATGTTAAAACGAAGTAAACGAAGTATAAACTCCTCAAACAGTCGAAAACCTACCAGTTTCACCCACTGTCTCTGCCACCTCCCTCCATGCCTGGTTCCTCCGGTTTGTATCCCGGTAAATAGTTCTGGTCGTAAAGAACCGGGTGATTTGCTACCGTAATTTCTCGTTTGGAATATGAGAAATGAACTGCGTCTCTCCCAGCTTACACGTGGTTTGATTGGCTAGCGCTTGTACTGTCAGATTTGCATAAACGGGATTTGATTGGCTGACGCTTCCAGCTCAGCTTCAAAAGTTGAACATTGCTCAACTTTTGAATCCTGAAAATCCTGGAAATCCTGGAAATCTTCGCTTTGCTTCCCCACAATGCAGTTCGGCGAAAAGCGAGGCAAAGTGACGTCACTCCCATTCAAAGTGAATGGGCAGAGAAGCGTTGGAAGATTTTTTTAAAGCTGCTGTGTGGACGGGCCGTACAAATAGACACAATTCAATTAAAGCAGAGGTAGCAGCAATGACAATGCACTGCAATAATCAAATTAAATGTCATTGTTCATATTTACACATTTGACGGACTTCAACATTTAAATATACAAAACTACAAACATTTGGATTTAACTGTGTGTTCATAAATAGATGCTACAAGTTACTATTGATGCCAAAGAAATAGCCTTAAATATTTACTCATTTTCTGTCTCCCTCCTGCAGGACAACAAGAGGATGAAGAGGACGCTGGAGGAGGAGCAGCGAGCGAGGAAGGAGCTGGAGAAAGTCGTGCGGAGAGTCCTGAAGAGCATGGACGACCCGACCTGGGACGAGACGAACCTCTGATCGTCACAGACTCTAAAATGACCTTTCCTTCAAACCTGTTCCCTCTTCCTATGACCTTCACAGTGACCTTTGTACCAAACTTTGGACCAAGAGAGAAAGAGTCTGCCAGAAAAATCAGCAAAGCCATCCTCACTGACCGTAAAGCTGTGAAGCCAAATTAGCTGGTAGGCACGATGACATCACTTCCTGTCCCACTCTTTCTAAACAGCCTTTTTTGAAACACTGACAAACAAACCTTTTTATTATCTACTTGTGTATTTATCTTGAATTCCTCTTGTGCTGATTTGATATTAAGTCGGACATTTCACCATACCCGGAACAGTATATTAACGCTACGTGGGTTTATTCATTTCACAGATTAAAACCACCTCATTTCATTGGCAGCGATTTCATTTCAATTTAAAAATGTTTTATGATATATGCTCTTGATTCTGACTAACTTTAAAGCTGGTTTCTTTGTTATATTAATTAAACATCGTAGGGGGGTACTACATTTGACAATAAAACTACATTTACCAGCACCTGTAACTAACAGGATGAGATTAAGTTTTTTTTATTGTTGTTAAAATTATGCTTTTTGCAACCGACTACTATTATATTTTAGGGATCCACTGCATTGCTTCACTGAATATGCACATTCCTGGTGTTTTTATTTTGAAGGTTTGTATTTTACTAAGTTTTTAAACCCAGCGACGTGGACACAAACAGAGGATCTGTTATTCTGCTGTTCTTCCACTTCTTGGAATATGTTTAAAAGAAGTCAGGACTTTGGGTTTAAAATGTATTTAACTTGTTCGAAACTTATGGACCTATTGTGGACGTCTATATAATGATGATCAGAACGTAACAATCAAGTACTGCACTGAAGTAATTCTGAGGTATGTATCTGCGTAGGAACAGAGAGCCTTGTAAGACAAAAACAATCAAAGTGAATTTTAAGTTTCTCTGTGAAACAAGCGGAGAGTCGGCTCGTTTCTCTCTCTGCTTCAAGACCGAAGTCCAAGCAATACAACACTGGAAAATGTTTTTGATTTTTTTGATGTCAATATGAAACTGACTGTAGAATGATTTTTTATATTTGTGATTGTGTTTTTACTCTTATCGCCTGGTTTTGATTTGTAACACTACTTATTTTCTACTGGACCTTGTTGATCACGCTGTAACGTCAGGAGACCTGCCTTGTGGAGAAAAACATTTCCTTTGCTTTAAATATTTATAAGGCTTTAAATGTCACCTGGAAATGTTGATTAAATAAGAAACAACACGTATGCAAGCTATGTAATACAGTATGCCAATTATTAACTTATGTATTTAACTGAAAGTGACTGAAGTGTGTTTAAATGTGATGGTGATGAAGGATATAGCAGTAGTTACAATGAGAAGAATCACCCCTGTCTATTTATTTTTGCCCATTTGTCTGTGAATAAAATGTGGAATCAAATCCAGAAGAATCTTTTATCATGCAGGTCAATCATTTAGTTTATGTTAGTACGCAACTGGGTGAGTTTCATGTTGATTTCTTTTTCAAATCTACACTTCGGTAGTACTGACCACACAATACATATATATTCTGAAAGGTTTTAATGTACATGTAATATAGCCTGCATTTATTTGTGTTTGAGTGATACAAGTATATCCAAATTCCTTGTACTTTAATATGCCAACAAAATGAAACAAGATTTCAAACTAGTACATTTCTGTGCTGAAAATGTCTGTAATATCCACTTATTTAATAACATAAAGCCTCATTTGCATACATGAAGTTAATATTTAAGAAAACCTGGTATACAGAAAATGTAAGTAATAAACCAAGGAAGTTTCATGAAGATTTAGTTTAATGTTTAACCATATTCCCATTATTGTCTTCCTTTTAAGATAAGCCATTGAGGTATTTAAATAAAATATAATTTTAATTGCATTTTAAGAAATTATTTTGATAACAAAACAAATAAGGCATTAATTACAAAATAAACACTTAAATAAATACATAAAATAACTACATAAAAATCCAAAAATCAACAAAAACAAACATTGTTTTTAATGTATTAATTGTATTTGACTTTTAAACGTGTCTTTTTCTTTTGCTAGATTCCCTCAAACGAGTGAAACAGCGCGTGGTCAAACGGGGCATTACACCCTGTCGAAATCCACACCAGGTGCAAATCGTTGTCGTTAATTAAGAAACAGTTAATTAGCACGTGAGGAACAACCCGTCTGTAAGGCCACTTACACTAACCGAGAGCAAACAGGTCCCTGGAGAAGAAACAAAGAAACATTTTAAAAAGACTATCAAAACACAAACTTCGGAAAAGTTAGTTAAATTAAACAACCATTAGTTTTTAGTTAGAGTGCTATTTTCACCTGTGTGCTAGTTTAACCTGTGTGGCGAATGCAGCTAACGTGCTAAGCTAGCAGCAAGAGAAAGGGACGAAGACTCTCAACAAACAACCTTTCAAAGAACAACAATAATACTTATGTCAACACAAACAAAATGACTTTCAAAGAAGCAAGTGCAGTTTCGACATCCCCATGAAAGAGGAAGACTGCAAATGTGAGTCAGATACTTCATTTCAATTAGTCTTTTTGCTATATGTTTAAATGCTTGCACGTGTGTATTTAACTACTTTCAATGTACTCTACTTGTTTATGTTGTTATGTTATATTATATATTTTTGCTACTAATACTTTTCTACATTTTGGAGGCATTTGTTTTTCCTTTTACTCAACTACATTCCTTTAAAACCAAACAATAATATATAATATAATAAACCATTATGTATTATAGGTTAAGCTACGATGCAGTATAGCAAGTAATTTAAATAGTTCCCACATTTACCAAGTGAACATTAACTATAATAGATTAATAATTATAATACGAGTCATATTTGATGTGGGCCATACTGAAAAATGAGTACTTTGTAATTTAAGTATATTGTGGTGCCAAGACCTTATGTACTTTAACTTGTCATGTATTCGACGCATGCATTGATACTTTTTGATGTAAATGTTTCTTAGTATTTAGTACTTATATGAACCTGTGTCAGAGTACCAGCTTTGTAGTATATATTATTATCTGCTCAGACAAAAGACTCGTGAGTAAGTCATATATCTATGATATGTACATTCATTTAGATTAACACCAACCTTTGGAAGTGCATTCAGTGAACTATAATGCTTTCTGATGTACATTATCTCAACAGCTATGTGACTTATTATGATTTATCTGCGTGTTGTATGGATGATATTTCATTTTAAATTACTTCTAATGGACTTATAATGCATGCATAGTGACAACCACCCGCAAAAATGACCTCTAGTAAGGACTCATAACAGTCCGTGATGCTTGGCGAAGAGACGCTATTGTGTGTTTTGTAAAGAGCGCTGTACGGTGACATTTAAGGGAAAGGAGATTTAAGGGATGGAGACAATTGACTTACCATTTTATATTTACATGGAGGTTTCAGTCAGCTACTGTATGTTGAAGGTGAGACATCTATTGTGCACATATTCATTGTAAAAAGCCTCCATGAAGACGTTTGTGATGTTTCACAATGCGTCTCTGACAGTTTGACGGCTGCCATGTTAGATGTCTGTTATCAATGCCATCAATAACATCACCTGGATAAATTGCCAACAGGTTTTGGCAGGACACGGGTGAAAGCATTATTCCCATAACAACAGAGGAGAAAGGAGTCTTTGTGGAGTTGTCTTTACTAAATTGACAAGGCCTTTTACAGCCTTTTGATGCAGGGCTGGCTGCCTCGCACAATGGAAGGCATATCAATGTGCAGATGTCGTCTGGAAAGCTCAAATGTCAACGCTTTTCACAACAGCACCGGGTAGAGCGGGAGGAATAATTGATTGGCTCACCTTTTGTCTCGAGCCACATATTCATCCAGGAGGACAAAAAGCAGGAGGCAGAAAGATGAAAGCGCATCTTCTGCTATTCTTCTGTTTATCTGAAAGGCGTTATATCAAGACTCGGATCACATGTGGATTACAGGTTTAGATTGATCAACAGTGACGTAGGGTGTTGTTTTCCCCCAAGAAAACCATGGTAACACAGATATGTTTGTACTTTATCCATTAGCTTTTGAAGCATAACAACCATTGAATTATGCAAGTCAAATTCCTAGTATGTGCGAAGTACCTACCTGGCAATAAACCTGTTTCTGATTGGTTGGTAATTCACCTTTTGTTCTTCTCCTTTGAAACTTCACATCTCCAAAGAGTGAGAACAAATCTAGCCTTCAGCAGGAAGGGAGTTTATCTCTTTAAATCTTCAAAACTAAGTTAATCTTAGCTTCATTTATGTCTTAATAGCTTAAAAATAACCCCCTGCCTTTTGTGAATAAACCACTCTAAAGTTGAAGCTTAGGGTTTGACTTAAAAGCTTGAGTTTCTTCAACTTTATCTGACGCTAATCAGGTAACAGATGAGTCACTGACCCACAGATAATCTCCGTGCATTAACATAATGATTTAATGACATCTTTAAAAGTAATTACGTGATGATCTGCATCCACACACACGGTAGAATAGTGAGGTACACTGCCACACACTATTGACAGCCCCATCGTGGATGAAATGGCAGTGAGTCACACTGCATTGTGTTTTGGCGGTGAAACCAACAGGTGTGTGTTCTGTAAAAGGTACAGTCCCTCTCTGTCTCCTCACTGTGCTCAACAGCTAGGGATAATTTAGATTTGACTTGTATTGTTGCATTGTGACTCCCTCGCCTTTCCCTCTCTTCTCCCTTCAAAGCCTTGCCGTGAATTTCCAGCCCCTGCAATTTTCTCCTTCTGTAGCAGAAGAAGACAAAGACAACACAGGACTCCTCTCTTCCCCCGGCCCTGTTATTGTACAAAATAGCCAAGCAATAGTTTTTGTTTTGTCATTGGTTTACTCCTAAAAGCCCATTTGACGTCGGCCCTGAAAAGAAAGCAATAAAGAAAGCTTTTCAGTGGCGAAGGAGGAATGAATCCCTTTGGGACGCTGAGCCCAGAGAGGCCTTTTTATTGTCTTTGCTCTGGTAATCAAATGGAGCTGAAATGAAAATGGAGTTTTCTATGAAAATAGGGGCCTTTGTTGGCTTTGGAAGGCTAGTAATTCATAAACAATAAGCCGGCGCCTTTTGTTTGGGTTATAATATATTCCTGCTG